AGTGCCAAAGACGGCCAGGACCACCTTGAGGGAGGACTGGACACTCTGGATCTCCTCAAGTCTTGCCACAGGATGGTATGTAAGTCTCACAGAGTCTCTGGAACCAGCTGCCAAGTGGGAACACAGTGAGTTGGGTCAGGAGTGTGGAACCAGCCAGACTGAGAGAAATTCTTGGTTCTCCTAAAGGTGAAGTGGTAGGAAACAAAGAGATGGCTGTGTGTGGCGGCACACAACTGTATTCCTAATACTCCAGGAAACTCAGGCAGGAGGATTACAAACCCAATCCCAGCAAAACCTTGCCCAAACAAACAAACAAACACAAACAAACAAAAGCTGTGAGGTAGGGGGAAATGGAGGAAGAACCTACAGATCAGAGACAGAAAAAACATTTAAAAATAGAGACAACTGGGATGCACGTTTGGGTGACTAAACTATTAAAACACACGCAAGGAAGGGGTAACTATAAAAGATGACTTATAGGAGACAGAGTTGAGATGGGTTCTATCAAGAGCTCCTGGGTGATAAGGTCCTCAGGCTGGAGCCAGGTGGTGTTTTCCTCCATTAATCCATGCGTGTGTGTGCTTTATATTTTACAATAAAATTTTGGACTTTTTGTTTCTTTACATAAACATGCTAAACAGGATCCTCCTCTGGCTGCTGTGCAAAAAGAGAGAGGATGGGAAGAGCTGATGTTGGGAAACAGGGAAAAGCCCAAAGCAATAATCTGAGTAAGTGGTGGTAGCAGGAGTTGGGCGAGGTGGCAAGTGATGACATTCCATACCTTTTTTGTCATTCCATACATTCTGATGAGGGTACCAACATTTCCTTACCAAGGTTTCCTTACATAAAATGCAGGGTATGGAGCCAGGGATTTAGCCTAGTGGTTCCCCTCATCCCCCCTCCCAATGTAGAGTGTGAGGACAGAGAGGAACCCAGCATTCCTCTAAGTTTTTAATCTAAGCAACCACAAGGGCAGAATTGCCACTTGCTATGAGGTGGCAGTAGTCTGACTTTGGTTTGGGACTTGGAGCCTGAGATTGCCTTTAACACGATGCTTCCATCTCCAAAGGACAACCCATCTAATCTGGAAACCCAAGAGTGTTACTTTACATGACAAAGAGAAACAGCCGTGAAGAGGTAAAAATCTGCGAGGAGGGAGGTGATCCTGGATTACCTGAGGGGACTCTCCTAGTCATTACACAGAGCCTAATAAGGAGTGAAGGAGGCACAGGAAGGAGGTGATGAGATGACTCATGCTGCCAGGAGCCAAGGAAGGCAGGAGCCTCAAAGCTGAAGTGGCAAGGAATAGATTCTTTCCTGGGGCTTCAAAAAGGGATCAGCTGACCCATCTTGGCTTTAACCCCAAAAGACTGGAGTCTGGGGGCTTTTCTGTGGTTGTTGTTGTTGTTGTTTTTTAAGACAGGGTCTTACTATGCAGCCCAGGCTGGCCTAAAACTTGTGGCGATCCTCCTGCCTCAGCCTCCCAAGTGCTGGGATTACAGGAGTATACCACCATGCCCAGCTGGGCTTTGACCTCAAGAACTATAAGAAGGGCTGGGGATTTAGCTCAGTGGCACTGTGCCTGCCTCGCAAGTGCAAAGCCCTGTATTCGATCCCTGGTACTGAGGGGGCAGGGGAGGGAAAGAACTATAAGAGAAAAAATATGCATTGCTTTCCACCCACCAAGTTTTCAGTGATTTATCACAGCAGTTTCAAGCCACTAACACAGATATCCAAGGCTGATGCCAAAGGAGGTGGGTAGCCAACACGAGGGAGTCAAGTTTCTATCCATGGCAGATTCTCTCTCAACTCCAAACTCTCAACAGCCTCTCTGTTCTATTCAGATTAAGGGAGTCCACAGTGGTCTAAAAGGCCCGGAGGATCTGGCCCTACCCCGCAGGCCTCAGCTGTTCCACTCTCCTGGTGTCACTGTCCAGACACTTCAGCTCCTTTGCTCTTCCTGGAACCACTCACCTGAGATTTCCTCAGAGCCTGAACGTTTCCCTCAGTTCTCTACTCAGATGTCTTGTTTTCTGGAAGGCCCTTTCTCACCCCTCTATACACTGGCAAACCTGCCCTGGCCCTTTCTATTTCTTCCCCTGCTTTGTTTTCTCTATGGTTTGCTTTTTTTCTCTCTCTCTATGTCTATAGTTCTTAATAGCACCTGCATTCTGCACAATTTACTTGCAGAACTTATCGTCTGTTAGGGGTTTGACCATGGCCCTCATTGAAGTCCCAAGCCCTAGGCCCTCAGAAGACAACCTTCTTTGGGAAGAGGATTTTAAAAAAAAGAAAGACAGCCTTCACAGAGGTGACTGAGTTCAGATGAGGTCAGTAGAGTGGTCCCTAATCAAACACAACTGATGTCCCTAAAAAAGGGAAAGGGTCAGGCTGAGAACAGTGGCACATGTCTGTAACCCTAGCACTCAGAGGGCTAGGCAGGATCACTGAAGTCAAGGCCAGACTGAATGGAGTAGTGAGACCCTATCTAAAGAAAAAAAAAGGAGAGCTAGGGATTTACCTCAGTTGTGCCAGCGCTTGCCTCGCAAGCTGAAGGTCTCCAGGCAGGGAATAGATTCTCCCTCACAGCCCTAAGAAGGAAACAACCCTACCAACACCTTGATCTTGGACTTCGAGCTCCCAGACCCATGAGACAGTAAATTTGTGTTATTCAAGCCACCCAATTGGAGGTCCTTTATTTTTTATTTTTGTTTTTGTACTGGGGATTGAACTCAGGACCTTACACTTGGGAGGCAGGTGGTAGAACCACTGAGCTAAATCCCCGGCTGAAGGTCCTTTGGTTTAGCAGCCCTAGCAAACTAATACACTGTCACCATACCTGCAATACTGTGAGTTTCGTGAGGGCAGGGACCACATCAGTTAGATCCTTAGCATAGAATAAGGCTCACACAGTAGGCACACTTTTTTTTTTTGGTACCAGGGATTGAATCCAGGACCTTACACTTGCGAGGCAGGTGTTGGAACCACTGAGCTAAATCCCCAGCCCCATCACTTAATAGTTATTAAATAAGGCAAGGACATACACAGTCTTACAACCTGTTCCTTGAGAGGAGTTAACTGAGGATGGAGCCAATTCTAAGTGGTGTGAAGAAATGGGGATGATAAACTGAGTCCTGGTCACTGAGGCAGATGCAACCAACTCGTCTCTGGACATCTGATCAAGTGATCAATACACATAGTCTCTAGCACTTTAAGCCAGCTTGCACTAGAATTTCTGTTATCTGTAGCTGAAATTCCTCCTACTTATACCCTGTCCAGAGGGATGAGTTAAAAGATTTTTTTTCGGGGTGGGGGGTCAGATCACGGAAGGCCTTAAGGAGTTTCCCTGCACTATGACTATGAGACCATGTCGGACAGGGACCCTGGGAACTACAAGAAGTCAGAAAGACAGAAACAAAGACTGAGGGAGCCACAGGAGGATTTTATACAAGGAGAGTGACAAACCAGGGCAAACATTTCTCCTATATGCCTAACCCTACAGTGGGAGCTAGAGGCACGGTCACGTGTCAGATCTGGTCCTTGTCCTTGAGGAACTGTCTGATGGGCATTAAGTACAAACAGGCATGGTTGTGACAGAGGGAGGCAATGGGGCCAGGGGAGAGAGAAAAGAAGTTGCCTTGGAACTAAGGCATGTTCCTTGTAGGGCAAGACAATGAATTGGATCATTAAGGGAACAGCAAGACAGAGAGAGGTTTTCATGCATTCATTCACTGAACACCTCAGGGGACTTGCTCTATTCTCTGCCTGTGCTGGACCCTGGCAACCCAGATGAATCTCAATCACTTCCTGTCACGGAGCAGGATGTAATCTAACATATGGGCAGGGAAAACCACAGCTAAGTGAAACTGGGTTGAAGTGGAGACAGTGGACAGTGGTAGGGAGGGACCAGAGTAGGGGATGAGCTGACTGAGTCACAGGGAGCCGGAGGGGACCAAGCTGGGTCTCGAGGACTGTGTAAGACATCACCTTAGAGAAGGGCAGTAAGACATTCTAGCAGAGGATACAGCTAGGCCAAGACAGGAAGCCTGGAAAGTACAATGTAACATTTTCCACCAGGCCAATAAGAGAGAAACCATTATTTGGACAAATGGCTAAAAGATGCTGGAGAAGCGGGCAGAACCCAGCTTGGGAAAGAATGGTCCAAGAAACCTGCATTTTATCCTGCAAGCAATGGGGGTTCCAGAAGGATACTAAGCACGATAATGACAGCATGAGAGCTTTACCTTTAAAAGACTGCCTGGAGCCATTAGGGTTTAAGTAAGAAGTGTCTCCCCCCAGGGATTTATACTTGAGGGCTTGATCCCCAGTGCACAATGTTCAGAGAGGTGGGGTCGAGAGAGGTGACCGGATCACGAGGGCACGGACCTCATCATAGGATTAATTCACTGATGAGTTCACAGCTGTGGGTTACTAGGAGGTGGTGCGCAGCTGGAGGAAGCAGGTTGCTGGGGACATGAATGGTGCCTTTGAGGGGTACTGCTCATTCCCTGCCCCTCTACACTAGATTGTTCCCTTCTGCCTGGCTTCCGGGCTACAAAAAGGTGAGTAGTTCTGTTCCATCACATCCTCTCTACTATGATTTATGTCTCACTTCAGGCCCAGAAGCAAAGGAAACAAGCACACATGGAATGAAATCTCTGAAACTCAGTCAAAATAAACCTTTCTCATGGTGGCACATGCCTGTAGTTCCAGTACTCAGGAGGCTGAGGCAGGAGGATCCACTGTGAATTCTAGGCCAGCCTGTGCTACACAGAGGGTTCAAGGCCAGCCTGAACTACATAGGGAGACTCTACCCCAAAAAACAAAAACCAGAATAATACCAAAATAAACCTTTTTCTTTCAAGTTTTTCTCAGGACTTTGGTCACAGTGATGAAAGCTGATGAACACAGAGGTTGCCATGGTATGGTGAGCTCAGGACAAAGGAAGGCTGGTTTTCCTTTGGTGGTGATCAGTTAAGACAGAGGGACCTTCAACTCACCTCCATCATAGTTGCCTGGGCCCAGTGCTATTTTTAAGCTCCTCCTCCTTCTCTTCCACGTTCCTGGCTGGTAGAGCTGCAGGAAAGGAGTTGTGAAAATGTCTTTCTTCCTCCTGTAGCTGACTCCCTGTCCATGCTGGATGAGCCCCCAAACTGTCCAGAAGTAGGAAGACAAATTCCAACCTGAGTTTCCCTGTAGGAACCGCAACAATTGTATTTACTGAAACTACTCCAGCCTCCCATTTCCATTTTGTTTTAGAATATACAAAGTAACTGAACAACTAACTGCTCTTAGCACTAACTGAATACGCATTTGGGAGATATAGTAATGAAAGTCTATAGCTTTATTGGGGTCTTTGATTTTGCTCACTGCCTTATCTTAGCACAGTACCTACAGTGGGTGCCTATAAAGTACTTGTTGACAGAACAAACGTGTCTCTGTCAGTCAGGTTTGGATATCAAATTTAGAAAAAATATATTTCATTCTCAGAGTTCCCTAGATTTTTATTTATTGAGATTTTTACACGTGGTTGACTATAACAGATGTTAACATTTACTGAACCATGTGTTTCCTCACACAATAGAGATTAAGCCTCAACTAACAAGTATAATGCAGTTGACAGACATTTTACTTGGCCCACGTAGTGCTGGCACATAAAACATCATGAAATAATATTTTTAAAATTATGAAAAAATTTAATAAGCAGTCCCACACTTGAAAATTGAGATCTCATCTAAACCAGCTTCTGAAACACCCTAGGATGATGCTGGAGAATTTATGTCACTCATGGTGCAGCCAGCTGTTTATCACTGAAAGCTCTAAAAGGTTCACCATCACTGTGCTAGGATTTGGCAACAATAGGTCTGCATTCCTGCAAACTGAGTTCACTGGAGCTGGAGATGGGCCGCTCAGATGGGCCAAGGGCTCCTCAGCCCTCACTCTGGCTGGTTCCCTATCTTATATGCCTGGCCCTTACAGACACCCAAGTTTGAGATCTCTGTCTGTAGTTTCCAAATCACATTTTGTCCCTATTTCATGCACCCTCATGATATAGGAAATGAAACATGAAAATATTGTATCTCCCAACATGTTAGATGTCTGACATGCTGAGTCCGTAGTCTCTAAAAATTGAAGAATGAACTGTAGAATTAAAAATTGAAGAATTGTAGAACATGGGAGGTAAAAAGTAGGAAAATATTTATTGAGAGGATAGCTCCTGAGCGGCAGGAGACCAGAATGGAAAACTGGGGACCCCACTTTACAGGCAAGTTTTATAGAGCAAAAGCCACATGGGTACAATGTGGGTTACCGCTATAATTAGCTAATAAGGCTACAAGCACAGTTACATAATAATAATCCAATGAGGAAACAAGGTGCATAACAAGTGTGCATGAAAAGAACAGAAATTTCCCTAAAATATGATAGGTCTAGAGGTCTTGGACACCCACTGGAGTGACTGATGTCTATCTAGACTTCATAAGGCCCAGTGTTTGTCTTTTGAGGAAGTATGCAGGCCTGGACTCCAACAGATGTGTCTCTGGCCATAGTTGTGATGTTTTACCTCTGTTCTGACTCTTGAGGGCCTCGCCTATAATATCTGACTGCGTGTAATATTTCTACCTGACTTAGCTGTCCATAACACTCAGATCTGGGAGGAAGAGATGGGGGAAGAGGGGAGGGGATCCTCACCTGAAGCCACCATCACCAAACTTGTCAGACTGACTTAAGCCAAGCAATAAGCTTCAAAAACCTGGGGCTCTAGAGTCTTGTCACTTCTCAGTGCGTGACTATGGTCAGATAATTTATCCTCTCTGAGCCCGAGTTTCTACATGTGCAAACGGGGACAAATACAACTGAACAGATGCACAGTCCTTTTGCTACAGTTCCAAAAAGCAAAAGGATCTGAAAACCAGAATTGTAGAGGCTACGTGCAGACTTTAGTATTCACACCTTTTCCCACAGAAATATTTGATGACCAAGAATTGCCCTAGCTTCCTCTGGAAGGGGCGGGGATCTTAATTACAAAATATGCACCAAATTCTTTCTAAAATCTGAAAAATTCCAATCCTCGAGACGATCCTGGTGCCAAGGACAAAGTATAAGACCCAGGAACTGCATTTAGGTCTCAATACTGGTATGAGGTTAATGGCAAAGATTCGGGAAGGGCAAGGCTCCTGGCGGGCAGAAGGCGCTCAAATAAATGTATTTAAATACTTCGTCCTCAAGAACTCTAATTCTTAGCGGGTTATCTCAACACTCAGGATTGAGGCTCAGACTTAAGGATCGCCGCCGAGAGTTCAAGACCACCCTGGACTTACACAGTGAGACCTCGCCTCTGAAAGGTGGGGACGGGGGCGTGTTTTCCCTTTGGGATCCTGCCGAGATCTGTCGACTTCAGATAACTCATTCTTCTGCCTGTCTCCTCAACCAAAAATAGGATAAAACAGCACCACTCCTCTCCGGTATGCCCGTGAGGACTGGAAACCGCATTAATAAAGAAAGCCAAGCTCTGAGCAAGGGTTCCTGCTTCCGTTAGCCGAAGTCGCGCCATTGGATTCCGTCACTCCTCGAAAAGGACCGAGCCCGCAAGCCTCTAAGGTTTTGGGGACCCCAGCCACCGCGCGCCATCGTACCTCGACACTACCGTCCGTCGGGTTAATAGACGTTGTCCGGGGGGGGGGAGAACAGGAGACAGAACAAGTCACGCGCGCCTCCTCACAGCAGTTTCCGGCGCCCAGCGAAGCGCCTGGAGCTTCTTTACCCAGGACCCTCCGCGCCAAGCAGCCGGACTCTATTTCCCGGAAGGCTGTGCGGGCGCCCATAGCTGTGGGTTCCACCCTCTTCTTCGTCCTTACAGGCCCAGCTGAGTACTCTGGGAAATAGGATCGATAAAGAGAGCGAGGTGTAGTCAGGGTTTTGTAGTTAAACTTTTACCCTGTTAAAGGACCTTAACCCTCTCCTGCCTTCCCTGAATTTTTCCACTTCTAAAGAGACAACAGAGCGATCCCATGGAGACGCGTAGAGGAAGTGGAAACTCTTGAAACGACGCGCGAAATAGGGGGGGAGGAACTGAGGGATAATGCAATCTGATTGGTAGCGAGATGCCCTGTCGTTCATCTCGATTGGCCTCGTACTGGTACATGTGCAGTAGAAGAAGCAAGAGTTCCAGAGTGAAACGGGAGTCCCAGCCCCGGGTCCGAGTGAGGGGGTTGGGCTGCCGCGAAGGCTACTGGGAAACGCAGTTCCGGATGGGTACGGCCTGGGCGGGTAGCAGGGAAGTCAGCGGCGCCTGCGCGGGCGTCGACTGGGCCCCAGGGTGGAGGATGCGCGCGCAGCGACTCCAGCCTAAGCGGAAGTTTCCGCTGGACGACCAGGAAGGTAAGTCACAGTTCTTGCGGGGGATCGTGGAGTGCGGCCGCAGAAACCAAGGACCCTGCCCACTCTCGAATACAGACGTGGGAAGGCGAGGCGGGGCCGCCGGAAGTTCCCGGCCGCTGGCCATAGCTGTGTCGTTCCCTGTGGCGTCATTACCTTTGGTGGGAGGTGGAGCCCCGGCTGGCGGGCGTCGGATGAGAGTGGGCCGCGGTAGCAGACCCGGGCCGCCGCTCATCGTCGCTGGCCCACAGACGGTTCTGGAGATGGGCGGGCTAAGGCGTGTGTGTATAACTGACAGACGGTTCTGGAGATGGGCGAGCTAAGGCGTGTGTGTGTGTGTGTGTGTGTGTAACAGACATTCACCATAATGTTATGAGGCAATTATAATCTCCATGCCACATGATCTTCATCTGAGGCTCAGAGCGATTACGTGACTTCCTCAAGGGCACAAAGCCAGGTAAGTGGCAAAGCTAGGCCCGTCTGGCTGTAAAGGTTTTGTCCATTGCAGTCCTGAGCAGGCCCAGTGACCACAGTAAGTGTGTGTGTGTGTAAGTGTGTAAGTGTAACTGGCGCCCCGCCCCAGCAGTACGTCATCCGATGCCGAGTCGCTGCCTCGGCCTCTTGTAGGCTTAGGGTAGAGCAAGACTTTGGCCTTTCCCTTTTGCCGTGCTGTGTCTTGGACCCAGGAGTACAGTCGTCGACGCATAGCAGATGTTAATATATAGTTGTCGAATAACTAAAATAAGTGGATGGATGAATAAAGTCTGGTCTGAGAATTGGAGCCTGGGGTTTAAGCCCTCAGCTGGCCGTGTGATCATAGACAAGGGGCTTCAGCACCCCAGACTCCTCTTGTCCTTCCATCTATGTTATTGAGTCCTTACCGGAAGTAAGGATCTGTGCACAGACCACTTCTATTTATTCTACCCGTGGGGTGCCTACTCCTAAAGGGACAGTTCTTTTTTTTTTAAAATTATTTTTATCAGTATATGTTTGCAGTACATAATGATTGCATTCATCTTGGGGACACGGAGGGGGTATAATACATCCGTGGGGACAGTTCTAAACTTACTGATGTACAAAACAAAATTTCTACCCAACTAATTTACATTCTAATGGTTAATGGGTGCCAGACCCAAAGTAAAAAGTAAATTAGGTAGTAGTTACAGGTCCACGATACTTTTTTCTCACTGAGGAGGTGATGTTCGAACGGAGATGTGGATGATGTGATTCGGGAGTGAATGCAGATGCGAGGTCGTGGGGGCAGCAGTGGTATTGCCACGTTTAGGGAAAAGCAGGGAAGCCGGTGTGAGCCAGGGGAGCTGGCCCGAGAGGGGAATGGGGGGAGATAGCCAATCGTGTAGCGCCTCATAGGCCCTGGTAAGAAGTTTGGTCTTCACTCTATCTGAAATGGAAGCCATTGGAGGGTTTGAAGAGGAGGGGCAGGGGCTGGTTTAGATTTTCAGTGGATCCGCTTTCTGCTTTTTGAGAGCAGACTGTAGCAGGGAGAGTAGGAGTAGGAATTCCAGTTAGGAGGTAACTGTGGTAGCTCGGGGGAACAGTGGAGCCCTAGACTAGGCTGGTGACAGGATGTAGGGGCCGAGAACTCCACGGTTGAAAAACCCAGTATCTCGGGCCAGAGGTTTAGCTCAGTGGTGCCAGCACCTACCTGGCAAGTGCAAGGTCCTCAGTTTGATCTCCAGTTCAAAAAAACAAAACAAAACAACCCAGTATCTCTCCTGGCCCGGTTCCATATTCGATATCAGCTTCTAGATGAAAACCTTTGAGAATATTCTGACTAAGGAGCCAGGCCAGCTTCTCATTTTCACTTTATAAGTTGGTACCAGATTAAGAACATGAGCTTTAGAGCTGCAGAGTTGAGCTCTCCAAGGTGAGTGGCCCTTGAGCATTAGTTTGTGGGCCTGAGAGATGGGGTGGTTTTCCCTCTGGTTCTCCACTGAAGAGCTTGAGACCTTGGGCCAGTAAGTCTCTGTGCCCCAGCGCCTCCACTGCCGCAGCTCCTCAGAGGGAAGAGTCACTCTTGGAAAGTGGCTATAGGGATTGTAACCTGAACATCCTGAGCTCATGCCGTGGGAGCTGTTGTTAATAAGCGCTGAGCTTCTCTGCTCTAGGTTACTTCCTGTCCCAGCAACAGCGTGGGATGGCCCGACACGCGGTGGTGTGAGCGAGCCATTTACCAAGCCTGCGTGTTTAAATTACCCAGCTTGTTCCTGCCCCGCTGCTGATGCTGTTTCCCGGGACCCCCGTTCCTCTCCGCCCGGGCTATTTTAGGCGGCCTCAGAGTGGATACTGGGTGCGTGGGTGAATGAGCCAGCTGCCAAGGTGCAGATTGCAGCCTTTGTATGGCCTCGGAAGTCGGAAGTGGCTTCCCCCGTCCTTACTGGGAGGAGCCGTCAGAAGCTCTGCCCTGGCTCTTGGTGGAAGGTGTTACCGGGTTCTGAAGCGCGCACAGGACTAGAAATACTTTGTGTATCTCGGTTCTCTTTGGAAAATACAGATGCTACCCTCCTACCAAAGGGCTGGGCGTACAGCTCAGTTGTACAGCACTTGCTTAGCATGAATGAGGCTCTGGTTTAATGCCTGGTACCCGGAACAGTGGTTCTGGAACCTACCGCTTGGGCTGTGGTATGGAGTAAACCAGTAATGCTCTGAAAGTTCTTCCCGAAGGCTCCTCTCCAGATGTCCGTGTCTCGCTGCCGAAATTCCCTCAGGGATCCCTTCCCCGGCCTCTTTGTGTGGACACTGACCTGCCAACCTCCATAGCATCCCTTTTTTTCTAGGGTACATCTTCCCTTTCCACAGTGTGAGCTTCCCAAGGTCAGGGACGGTGCTTGTTTCCTTTCTGATTCCTGGCATAAGCCCGGAACTCAGGAAATCAGTATTGAATGACCGAATGGCCTTAGCACTTGCTGGCTGCGTGGCCACTGCTCAATAACTATTAACTATTACCTTTCCCTTACTTGGAAAGGGAGCCCGAGTCAGTATCTCCACCTTTGTTCACTTTCAGGCTGCTGTCAAGATGGAGTTTCTAGCCCAGTGAATCCGAGGACCAGACTGTGATCCCGTAAAGGTACTGTCCCCTCAGGCACACGTCCCTGAAGGCCAGTTCCCCAGCACAGCCCGATTCTGTTGCCCCCTTGTTGCTGTTCGCAGATTTCCCTCTGGGAAGCAGTGTTACTTGGGCCTGGCAATGCTCACCCCGTGCAGTGCTTGCTCCTTCCTGCAGGCCACCTTCAGCCCATGGCCACAGCACCAGGGGAAAATCTACTTAACACAGAGCCACTTCAAACCACTACAGATTCCCAGACCAAATTTTTGTTCATAAGAAATCAAGTAGCATGTTGGTGTATTATTAGGCTGGGCTAGGCTATGCTGCATGTTGTAGTCAGGGTTTACAAGGGAATAGATTTAATACAGGACACATAATTTATAGGATTATTTTGGGGCCAGGGATTTAGCTCAGTGGTTCTGCCGCCTGCCTGGCAAGCGTGAGGACCCGAGTTCGAGCCCCCATACCAAAAAATAAATAAATTTATAGGATTATTTTATGATAGTCACCCAAAAGGTCAAATGTAGGGGAGTGCAGGAGATTAGCCGCACACTAGAGACCCAGAGAATCCAGCCAAGGGCCTGGATCCCAGCAATGTCCCATGCAGGCCCTGCTGAAGGCCTAGAGTCTGAGGCGGTGTCCTCCACAACTCCGGCCAGTAGCCCAGAGCCCAGGGCAATGTCTCATGCTTGTCCTGTCGAGGACCTGCACCTGGAAGGCCCAAAGGCCAGCGGTAGAAGCCAGAAAACCTGCGCTGGTGAGGTGAAGGATCTGTGCCACCAGGCTGAGGGATTCAAGCCAGGAAGTGATGCTCACGGTGAAGACCAGAGCCTTCCTTAGAGGAACAGCAGCCACTCCCGGTGACGGCGAGGCCTTGAGCTCCTCCGATGAGAGAACAGACAAGTTTGCATCAGGAAAACCAACTGTAGCAAGCTTCTAGAGAGTCAGCAGCCCGAATCTTCCCTTCCTGTCCTCTTTTTATGCTGTTGGCAACACTCCTAGGTGGGTCCTCCACGCCCTGACCACGCTGACTCAGCTCACCTGGGCGTTACAAGGTGACCATTAGTTCATCCACCACATCACAGTGACAAACAGCACCGGACTCAGTAGCATGACACAACCACAAGTTCTTTCTTACTAATTCATCCTGGACAACTGTCTAGATCCAGTTTTGATCTTGTAGGTCCAGGGTCAACAGCTGGGCTCCAGATTTGTCACTGCCTGAAGGGAGAAAGGGGAAGAGGCAGTGAATCCTTTGTCTGAACAAAAATATTTGCTTCTGTTTACACCTTAAAGAAGGCAGGGATGTCCATTTAGGTGCTGTCATAAGAACAACCAGTCACTAAGCCAGCCAGTCAGAGTTCCAGGCCTCTTAGAGGTAAAGGATACTTAGCAATCTTTGCAGCCCAGTTGTTTTACACGAATCCTTTGAAATACCACAAGGGCAGTGTTTTGTTTGTTTGTTTTGGTTTTTTGAGACAGTCTCTGTGTAGGTTAGGCTGGCCTTGAATTCACAGCGATCCTTCTGCCTCGGCCTCCCAAGTGCTGGGGTCACAGCCACGTACCACCATGCCCACCTCGCCTGGCCAGAAGGGCAGTTTGATGCCAGAGCTTGGATTTTTGCTCTTCTACAGGCTGGTAGAGAAAGGAATCCTTTTCTCCTCTGGCTGAGCTTGTTCTTTTCACCAGTTGTTTGGGCAGCCTGTGGTTTTTAAGGACAAGCCCTGGAATTATTCAAGTCAGCACCAGGAGGAAGTAAGCCCCAAAAGCTCTGGGCTTACAATATGGGAAGAGTAAAGGAAAGACTGCAAATACCGATGAGTGGGATACAGTAGGGGACAGTGAGCGTGAGCAGTCCCTGGTAGAAGAAGCTCTCTAAGGGGCTGGGTGTAGCTCAGTGGTAGAGCACTTGCCTAGTGAGATGCCCTCAGTTTCATCTCCAGCACCACAGAAAAAGAGTAGAAGAAGGAAAGGAGCAAAAGAAGAAAGAGCTTAAGAGAAAGAAAAAGAAGGAAAAAAACTTTACAAAAAGCTAAAAAAGCTTTCTGTGGCCGGGTCCTGCCTGCCTCAGCCCTTGAAATAAGTGTGCTCACTAGGCCTCAGCAGCCATTCTGTATGGGGGCACAGAGAGGTTAAATAATTTGCCCAGCACATAGCAAATTGGAAATTCGAACCCAGTGATCAAAGCCTATGATTTTAAAGATTCTGTTTTCTGCACCTGCAGTAGAGACCAACCTTTAACAGTGATGAATAAAGAGTTTCCTTAGAACTTCTTGCGAAGTGTGTTAGTCAGCTTCAAGTCAATAAAACAAAATACCAAGACGATTTGCTTGTTTTGCATGGGTTTATTTAGCTCACGGGTCTGCGAGTGGCCCTGTGGCTGAGGGCCTCTCGTCGGGGTGCCGGATGGCAGTGACAGGGTGTGTGTGTGGCCGAGTGAGGCTGTGAACATTACTAGGCAGAGAGGAAAGACAGAGAAGAGGCTGGGGTCCCACAGTCCCTCAAAGGCCACACTCCCAGTGACCTAAGGACGCTTCACAAGGCCCCGCCTCCTAAAGGTTCACAGCCCAGGACCACCACCACGGGGTCCCAGTCCTTTGGGGAACACTTATCCTGGCTACAGCACAAGGTAATGAAATTGTGAACACGCTTATTTTGACTTCTATTTTAATACTCTAATTTTTAATTGCTACCATACACTAAGTCTCAGAATATAAGAATCAAATCCCTGTCTCTCTCTCTCTCTCTTCCTCTCTTTTTGCTATTCAAAGATGTTCACTTGACATACCCACGGCACTCTCATCCTTGTTAATTTTCTCTTCACTTACTAAATGGCCCAACCCTGCCACATCTGTTGTTGGCCCTGTTTGTGATTTTGTTTTTAATTTTCAAAAAGTACCAGGAACTATTTCAGTGATACGTGAAGCATAGTAGGTACCATAAGAGCACCACTCACCCCAATTAGTCAGCATAGGATACGCCATGCTTCAATAACAAATGAGCCCTGAAATCCGGTGGCGTCATACACCATAAGTGTCCTGTGGTTATTGATCCTGAGATCCTAGTGTGGACTGGGCAGCCCCCTTTCATCATGTTGCTATGTTACCTATCATTGTGGCCTCAGTGACCATGCCTACAGGTAAAAGGTAGATGGAAGAGATACTCTAGCCACGAAATCACTTCTAGCCAGCCTGAACCACTGGCCAGAACTAGTCGTCTTGGCCCAGACTGCTACAAAGAAGGCTGGGAAATATGGAGGACCGTGTGGATATTTGTAGAACATCCAGTGTCTCTCCGGTCCCCAACATGTGATTTAAGAAATGAGCATCTGGGACGCCATTGCAGACCCTAGGGACTCCACCACCGTGCTTATTCCAGTGGGAGCAGTTTTGTGCCATAGCCGTCCCTGACCCCAAGTGTCCCATAGCTTCTGTGAGTTCTGCTGCTTCACTTGGCATTTGTTTGCCTCGTACCTGGGCTGTTAGGGACAGGTGGGTGAAGGCTCAGCGGGCACTGGGCGGGGCTCATTCAGAAGTGGCCACTCGGGTGTGTATTCAGGCGAGGCTGACTCCTGTCCCTTCCTCAGCTCGTCTCTGTGGGGAACTCAGAGGGCTACTCGCCAGCTGGATTCGATTTTTATTTCAGCCTCCTCTACCCACTTTCTTTCCATTTCATAGCATGATCTCCTTCTGTCCAGACTGTGGCAAAAGTATTGAAGCAACATTCAAATTCTGTCCCTACTGTGGAAAACCTTTGCCTACGGAGGAGCATGCAAAGTCCCCGACCTGTGTCAAGCAGCGGGAGTCATCCTTGCGAGGTAGGAGCTGGGGCTTGGAGCGCATCCCTGTGGTGGGCCGAGGGCTGCATATGCACGTGTGTTTGCACAGATGTGTTTGCGGCCTGACACCAGAGCAGCCAGGGCTCAGGCCCAGACAGCTCTGTGTACAGAACCCTTCTTTCCCTGGGCTCCCTGCTTCTCCTACATCCTGTTTTGAGTGGCATCCAGAGAGACCCTGTTACTCCAGCCAGATTCTGTCACTGTCTTGTTCACCGCCTTCTGTGTGAAGCCTCACAGGATGAATCGAGTCAGATCCCTCTCAGCTCACCTCCTGGCCCTTCTGCTGTCGCTTGTTCTGTTCCACCCACTGTCTCCTCTCCCTTCCTACCTGGGAAGAGATTGCAGTGGGCGGGGCCGGTGTGAGTGGAGGGCAGCACAGTATAGACTGGGGGGGCCAGGCAGACACCTGGCATCAAGGAGCTGTGGAAGAGTTTCTGCCAAGTGGGTGCACAGTGATTTGAATTTTTAGAGGCTGCTCTGGCTCTGTGTGTGTGTGTGTGTGTGTGTGTGTGTGTGTGTGTGTGAAAAATGTCCCGGAGTTGCGAGACTGTCCCAGTATTCCAGGGACCAGTCATGCTGGTGGAGTTAGTGACAATTGAAAGGAAAAGACTGTGTCCTTGTTGGGAAAAAAAAACTGTGTCCTTGGTTCACAGAGATAGCAGGAAACAAGTCAACAGAAACAACGAACTACAGAATCACACAACCAAGACCACAGACCTTAGCATTAACTGATGCAAATATTTACAAAGCACATTTGATATGTTTAAAGAAACAACAATAAATTGGCATTATAATGAAATGAGCTAGTATTAACCAGGCAATAACCAGAGGAATCAAATAAAACTTTAAATATATGTGTATAGATAAATGGCTGACTAGACACAGTTGCAGGGAGAATTAGTGAACTGGAAGATAGATTTGAAGAATTTAAACTTCAAAGAGAGAACAGAGGGATAAAATGATGGAAGATATAAAAAAGAGGCTAATACTCTGAGAGACTGAGGTCGGAGGGTTACAAGTTTGAGTCCAGCCTAGGCAACTTAGCAATTTAGTGAGATCTTATCTGAAAATAAAAATAAAAAAGAGCTGGGTATATAGCTCAGTGTGAAGGCTTGGGTTCAGTCTTCCGTATCATAAGGAGGGGGCACACCAAGCCCTTGGAGGAGAAGAGATTCAAAGAAAAGAACCATTTGTTAGGTTGCTGGTGGTAGAAGAGGTGAGCTTTGCTGAGAAGAGCCTTATAACTCCTGTCTGCCTTCCGTCTCCCTTTCTTTAGGCTCAAAGAGAGAGCGGAGCTCCAGTTCTGAAACCTCTCCCAAGAAAGTGAAATGGTCAAACATTGTCATATCTTCCCAGTCATCCTTCCTCTCTGACAGTGGCAGTCCTCAGCCTGAAGATGCTGTGAGTTCTTCTGAGAGACCCAAAAGTAAGAGTTGGGGTGGATCTGACCCCCAGGTAGGGCAAGGACAGGTCCTCTGACAGAAGCTGCCAGAGCCCCGACGAGAACGTCACGCACCCCTGCCTGGACCCCTCGCAGCACCTTTCCCCGCCTGTCTCCCCCAGGCCATCTCCACAGGGTCCCCGGGGCCTCTGCACCCAGCGCTGCCCTGGCTCTCCCTCCTCAAAGCCCTTCATCCTATCCCCCACCATCCGGCTGTCGGCTGGCATTTGGCCGCCCCATACTTCGAGTGCATGAGACTCACTTTAGGGGACTGTCAAGCTCTGGGCTTTGCTGAGTCTGTTCCCTCAGCCCCGTTATCACCTCCTGTGCCTGAACTGTGCCCATTTCCAGCACTCGGAGGCTCCCATCTCTAGGCACCCCCTCCTGAGCACCACAGGCTCGTGCCAAGGCTCCTTGTGTCCCCAGAGCCACTCTCCTGCCTCTGCCCCGCGCCCCCAGGCCCCGATTCGGCCCTCTTGTGCATTTGTGTCACTGCAGGCCCCACAGCCCTCTCACCTCACTTCTGGCCTGCACATCCTTTGTGGACAGGGACCGAGTGGGGTTTGCCTGTCCTCTCCCAGCCAGGGCAGGACCCGGGGCTTGAAGGCCATATCGCCGCCGCCCTCCCACCAGGCCCTGGGTGGCTCCTCATGCCTGGTCATCCCCGAGGCCTGAGGCCTCTCACCTGTGTGCCTTGGCGGAGATGGCGGTGGAAGGAGTGAGGTGGGAGCCGTGGCCGTTTCCTGCCCTCTGCCACAAAACCTCTCTCTCTTGCTAGTCCCTTCGAGGGTGGCATCTCCATCTGACACATTTCAGGCCCTCTTTATGCTCGGCCCAGGGTCAGATCCTGCTGCGGGGTGTTTCCAGGTGAATGTCTGGGTGGCCTTTCCCCCTAGCAAACTTCTGCTCATCCACCAAGCCCCAACTCTAATGTCCTTGCTCTGGGAAGCCTCCCTTGACCCCTGGGCAGTTACTTTCCCCCTGGGCCTGATGCCCCTCTGTGGAGGTTATGTCAATGTCATATTCTTCCATGTGCTGGGAGCTCCCGAGGGAAGGGTCCAAGGTCATCACACAAGGGCCTTGCTCAGGAGGACCAGGAAGCGCTTCTTGACTGAGACAACAATCCAGCAAACAGCATCATGAGTGTTCTTTCACTCCCGGATGCTGGCTTTTGTTTACTGTGACCCTCCTCCTGCAGGGGCCAGGAGCAGAACCTCAACTCCCAAAAGCAGCCCTCAGTCCACCAAGCACAGCGCACAGACACTGAGGCGAAACTGGGCAACCATCTCACTTGAAGCTTTGCCCTTGGGGACGGAGCTGACGGACAAGAATGGGCAGCACTGGAGGCTGGGAACACTGCAGACCAGGGACAGCCAGGGCATTCTCTACGCAGGTGCTGTGTCCAGGGGGGCAGGGAGGGGACTTCCTGAGGAGGGGGACAGAGGGAGGCTGTGCTGCTGGCTGTAGACCTGCCTCTCGCAGGCCCACGGTCAGGTCATGAGAGTGCCTGGTGCAGCAGAGGTGGCTGGGAGGGCCGTGCGCCTGGCCCATGGAGAGGTCCTCCGCCCAGTGGCTGCTGGGAGTGCAGAACAGGAGGTGCCACCAGAAGGACTGTCATGGCCGGCCTGCAGAGGCGGCTTGGTCCGCCCACCCAAAACTGGTCAGATGTCCAGAATGACGAGAGGGCCGGTGCTCCAAGAGGATATGACAGATTTGTGGTTTCCTTAATTGGGACTTTGGTGAAGAGCGAGGCAGACTTCTCACGCAGGTCCAAAATGCTGGAAAGAGCAAGGGAAGAAGCCCAGCCTTGGGTTTCATGGTCTCTGGTGGGTGAGGCTTTCCACACACAGGCCACACTCCCTCGAGGGCTGTGAATCTTGCACCAGCTAGCTGGGCATGGTGACACACGCCTCTACTCCCAGCACTTTAGGAGGCTGAGGCAGGAGAGTCGCAGGTTCCAGCATGGCCGGGGCAACTTAGCAATTTAAGAGAGACTCTGTGTCTAAATAAAAATAAATAAATAAATAAAAGGCACTAGGAGTGTAGCTCAGTGTGAAGGCCCAGGGTTCAGTCCCCAATTATGAAGACAGAAAGGAAAAGGGAAGAAAGGAGGTGGATGGATCTGCCATTCTTGTCCAGGTAGGGGAGAAGCAGGTTAGAAGCTGACTGTCAGACTTAGGCAGCGGAGTCCGGCTCTGTGGCAGTGAGAGAGTTAACGACTATTGGAATCACCAGTCCCTAACACAGACTCAGTGCTTGCTCAGGGCCGGCCGCTATTTTATTGGCAGTTTTTTAATTGAGATAATCATATAACAAGAAAGCCACTATTTCAAAGTGTCACAGAAACTCCACCATTGTCTTAATTCCAGAACATTTCCACCACCCTCAAAATAAATCCAGTACCTCTGCTGAGGTCTGAATGTCCCGAGCCAGAGTCTCACTGAACGTGATCCCTATGGGCGGTCATGACACGTGGGGTCCAGGCACCTGGAAGAGGCAGGCTTGGCCCTCAAGAATGGACTCATCTGTGCGTGGCTCTGTGGTCAGTGGACTCTGGAGCAAAGCATCCCTCAGCATGGTTCTGCACTGGCGGCGGGCCGTGCTCCTGTGTCCCTCTGGACCAGGCATGGCATGTGGTTGCCCAGGGTGTGGCCTTGAATATGCACTGGCCTCCTCCGGCCACAGATTTCGGTACAGCATGGGGATTGTTGTCCCCAGGGAGGCCTGTCAGAGACTCAGGGTCCCAGATTGGGATGAGGATGGGTCCTGTGGCCACCTCTGCCTGCCATGTAGATCAGTCCCCGGGTCCCAGAAGCACAGCAGGTGTTAGTGTGGGCCCAGAGAGCACCTTGCATCATGAGGGGAGGCTGGGGACCCTTCCTCCCAAACTCCAGCTTTGAAAACCCTGGTTCCTGACCTGGGAAGGAGGGTGGTCTCAGGCCTGTAGTGTTAACCCTTTCCTGCCCAGCCAGATGGTCACAAAGGAAGACGAAGTTCTGCACACCAAGAAGCACTCGCTCTTGGGAATCAGAACCCTTCTCACTGCTAGGAAGTTTGTGAGCCATGACCGTGACCCTCTCAGCTCATGACCTTACTCACTTGTTTCTGTTCCTCTGTAGCCGAGCCCGCCTCTGTCCTCCCCTGTGACTCAGGGTCTCAGAAACACCAGTTCTCCATCAAACTGGTGAGTGGCCCCTGAGCAGGGAACCTGGGGCTTTGCAAATGCCCTGTGGACCTCTGATCCCCTGTGTGAGCTGGGAGAGCTCGGGGGAGCCCCTGGCAACTGAGGGCAGTGGGACCCTGGGAAGGGTCAGTTCCTGTCCCTCCTGTGGGGCTGCGGGGAAACTTGTGGCCCCAGATACCCCTGCTCAGGCTCTGGTGTTTCCCATCCGTGTAACCTGAGCAGCAGCGCCCCCTGTCGGCTCTGAGTTTCCTTACCGGTGAAGGCTCCCTCACATCTGCCTCATACGTAGCATGTGTCTGTCGAACAGCTGAGGTGTATGTGGTGGATGTTGGGATCCAACAGAGAACACATCGGGTGGGCCCACAGTTTTAATGAAACCACCCCCAGCAGGCGCTTAGCACAAAGGCTGAGCAGACGGGAACCGTGTCCACTCAGGAGTGGCGTGAGGTGGTCGTCGGTGGAGAAAGTGAGCAGGCCTTCGGCACAGTGCAGTATTTCATATAAAAAGGCCATTGTGTCATCCCGGTCCGTAGCCTCATTATCAACCCCGAGTGCTGGCAGTCTGGGTGACTCTTAGTTTCTTCTTTACATTGATCTGGACTGTCCCATGTCCTAGAAAACCAGGGACAGCCAGCCCGTTCAGGTGACCCCTCTCAGTCCTAGATGGAGGCTGTGGTTCGGAGCAAGTGACTGAGCTGGTTCTGTGCCTGTGTCACGGGGATCACGTAACTGAAGTGTCTCAGCACACCTGTGGGGTCACCCCCCAGGCCCCGTTTAACTGCTCTGCAGAGTTCGGATGGTACCAGGCACACAGGCATCTGTACTCTTCCTGTCATTACCATTGCCGGGGAGGCAGAAGCAGAGCCTCTCTCTCTCTCTCCGGGACCATCCAGTCAGCATTTCCTGAGGCCTAGAAGGATGCTGAGCTGAGTCTGACACAGGGACTGAAGAAAGAGAAAGGGAAAGGGAGAGCCTGCCCGGCCTGTTAAGAACATAACCTGGAAGTTGCCCACATTTCCCATGCTCATATCCTCATTGACCAGGACTTAGTCGTGTGACCATGCCTCACTGCAAAGGAGCCTGGGAAATGTAGTTTTTATGTGAAGGGTACCTGTTAAGGGAAAAGTTGTTGATCCTGTTGTAAAAATGCAGAGGAGCTAGGAGATAGCTCTCAGTCTCTGATATGTGCTCACCTGCAACACCCTGAGGAATTTGGTCCTGATGCAAGGATTTGGAAAACCCTGGGGTAATGGAGATATTGGGCTCTTGTGTAAGGGAGTTTAGTGTGACAGCCTCTCTTTTCCTTTTCCCTCCAGGATGCCAAAGACGGGCGCCTGTTCAATGAGCAGAACTTCTTCCAGCGGGCTGCCAAGCCTCTGCAAGGTATTCCCCAGGGAACTGGGCAGAGGAGAGAGTTGGGGCGCCAGCTTGCACACAGCAGCTCACTTCTCCCTGCTGGCATGGGGAGGGTGGAGATTCAGGCCCAGGTGTGCATCCCATCTGTGCCTGGGACCTGGAGGGACAGGGTGGAGCTGGCTCAGATCGGCTCTGTGAGCCAGGTGATACATGTTCAGAAATGCTCCCAGCTGGTTGTTCCATGCAGCCAAGGTACTAACAGTTAAGTATGTAACTTAGTTATATTCAACACAAAGACAGTAAACTCAAAAACTCATCATTTCCTGATTCTCTTCTGCTTGTGCCATTGTCTCTAACCCTTGTGGTGATTTACATCCCTGCTATCCGGATGGTGAGGATTCGGCACAGGGGCAGCCCCGTGCCTCTCTCCAAGCCCACACTCGGTTGCATCACATCACTGGCTTGAAACTGGCTGTGGCAGGAAGCACACCCTAAAACTGGCGGAAATGCCAGTCTGGGCCGCTCTCCTGGGCAGCCAGCTGTTCCGACAGATCGGCACACAACTGGTTCTACTTCAGCCCATGGCGACCCCAGCAGACAGGCAGAGGCAGGGCTGGTTTCCACCCACACTGAACTTGGTAACTACGGTTGTGGACACAAAGATTCCTCTGCTGTCCTTGTCACTTCTGTTCAGCGCAGATGTGTATGTGTTTCCCAGAAGTCTCTTGTGTTCACCTCTGTCAGCTGCAGGCGTGGATTACAGACACCTGTGGGTCACCCGTGCCCGCCCTGTCCCCATCCCCTCATTGTCACCCTCCCGCAAAGGTGTCATTTCCAACGAGGAGACGCAGGATCATTTCTGGGCCCTGGCGTGGTTCCCTCCTGGCCTGAGAACAGCTGCTGTCCATGGGCCTGGCACCTGGTGGGCTCTAAGTTGGGCCCCTGTGTCCCGCAGTGAACAAGTGGAAGAAGCTGTACTCGATCCCGCTCCTGGCCGTTCCCACCTGTGTTGGTTTTGGCGTTCACCAGGACAAGTACAGGTGAGCCGTCCCCCTGCCATCCGCCACCAAGCCCTCTCCTTCCCCTCCTATCCTGTGCCCAGGTGTAGCTGCGGCCCGGAGCCCCTGGCCAGACAGCTGCCTCTTCCTCTCCCCTTCCTCTGCCCTGTGTCGAGCCAGGCTGTGCCCAGCCGAGCAGATTCTTTCCTATCCCCTGGTGCTAGGCTCTTGGGGCACCCCCACCGCAGTCTTCCCTCCCCACGGGTCTGCACCTCCTGGGTCACCTGTGTCTTCCAGGTTCTTGGTGTTCCCCAGCCTGGGGCAGAGCCTGCAGTCGGCCCTGGATAAGAGCCCAAAGCATGTGATGCCGGAGAAGTGTGTGTTCCAGGTGGCCTGCAGGCTGGTACGCACCTCAGCTGCTCGGTGTCTCAGAGCTGGCCCGTAGCATCCGCCCCCAGCATACCAGAGCCAGTACCAGTGTGAGCGGCACTGCCACCGGGGTCCTGGCCTCAACTTGAGGGCTTCCTGGAGAGGTGGTTTCCAAGCCGGGCTGAGTGGAAACAGCGAGGTGCTGGTGCACGCGGCATTGGGCTGTGCAAGGAGAGAGCGTTCCAAGACAGCTCGGGCAGGCTCGCACAAAGGCATTTGTTCACGCAGTCATTCCCACCCTCGTTTCTTGTCAGCTTAGGGTCAGGGACCTGGGGGGAGCGCAGGAAGCACCACAGGTACAGGCTTCGGTTTTTGAGGGGGGGGTGTTGAGACAGGGTCTTGCTGTGTATCCCAGATTGGTCTTGAACTCACATTGTGGCCCAGGCTTGCCTGAAACTCAGTGATCCTCCTGCCTCGGCCTCCCAAATGCTGGGAATAGAGGTGTGTGCAGCCACGCCCTGCCAAGGCTTCCTGTGTAGGAGCTCGCAGTCTGGTGGGTGAGGTTGCTGTTACACAGGTGAACAGCCAGGCATGGTGCTGCACACCTCTAGTCCCAGCACTCCCTTCAGGAGGCCGATGCGGAGGATTACAAGTTGAAGCCCAGGCTGGGCAACTTAGTGGCTTCACAAAATCCTGTCTTAAAATTTAAAAATGAAAATGAAAAATCACTGGGAGTATAGCCCAATGTGAAGGCCCTGGATTCAATCCCCAGCACTAGAAGAAGATGAAACAAACCAGAAACCCAGTTGCGCAGATTGTGACAAGTGCCCTGAGTAGACGGGGCTGCCGCCGCCAAGGTGACTGAGGGCAGCCAGGTCCCATAACCGGAGGTGGCAGCACCAAGGGCGTAACGTGTTAGGTGAGCCGTAGGCCTCTCTGCCAGTGTCTGACAGCGACAAGGGAGGCGCTGGGACTCTGAGCTGAGGGTTAGCTATGGCGCAGGGGCCAGGTGAGGATGGCTGCCTGGGATCCACGTGGGAGAGGCCTGGGTGGGTGGAGAGGTCTTCAGAGTAGAGCGAGCAGAGCTCCAGGGACAGTTGGGCCCTGAGGGCGCAGAGGGCTTGGGGACGCAGTTAAACACCAGGCGGCAAGTCCATAGCTGAGTGGAGTAGTGGAACATGCAGATTGCTTAGCTAAGTCCTAAGTTCTCGCTAGGTCAGCTGGGGAGAATGTGGTGTACACGCGTGCTGGGTGACTTAGGCATGGGGTCTGGGCAGCCTCTTATCCTCCTGAGTTTTCAATCAGGAAAAAGAGAAGGTCAGTGGAAAGCCAAATATTGCTTGGTGAGATTTAAAAACTGAATGGCAGGGACTGGGGATGTAGCTCAGTGGTTCCGTTCCTGCCTGGAAAATGCAAGGTCCTGAGTTCGATCCCTGGTACCAGTAAATAAATAAGAATGGTGAATATTTGGTTTTTCTTTCTTAAAAACACTTACTACAGTAAAAGACATTGCCATTAATGCCTCCCACTTACTTCTAACACGCCTGCCCGTTGTTCTGGGAAGTGCTCTTTAAGTCTGGTTGCCCTGTCCTGGCCGCGCCGACGCCCAGAATCAAATGAAAACATTTACCTTTCGTGGTCATTTTGACTTTGGGACACAACCAAAAGTATCATGGTGCTAGATTTAGTGGATAAAGTGAATAAGAACAAATGGTAATGCTTTTATTTGACAGAAAATGCCACTCAAGAGATGCTTGCTTGCTTGTTTCCCCAGCTGGATGCCCTGGAATTCCTCCATGAAAATGAGTACGTTCATGGGAACCTGACAGCGGAGAATGTCTTCCTGAATCCAGAGGATCTGAGCCAAGTAAGAGCCTGGGCCCCCACCCACTCCGGGAGATCTCAGAGGCTTCCTCTCTGTCCCCAAATCTCCATTCCTTTCACAGTGCAAGCAAAAGGTTGCTGCCCACCATATGTAAAGATGAAATGACAGATAAATTGCTAGAAACATGGACAAAGGGTAGGAAAACCAGTTCATAGAGAAAGAAATCCACAGGTCACGTATATGACAAGACGCTCAACTTCTCTGGAATTGCAAATCAAAGCAAGGTTCTATATTTCACCCTTTGGACGGACAGACGAATACTATTGTAGAATGCTGGTAAGGCTGTAAGGCAATAGGAATTCACACACTGTTGGGACTGAATCGGGCTACCTTTTTTGGAAGTTATCTTACAGATAGCAATCACAACTGTATGCGCATCCGTTGTTTGACCCATCAGTTCCTCAGAGGAGTGTATCCTACCCATATATCCACAGATCTGGGTATGGCAGCGCACACCTGTAATTCCAACACTCAGGAGGCTCTGTCTCAAAAAAAAAAAGAGGGCCAGAATGTAGTTCAGTGGCACAGTACCCTGCCTGGCAAGCACAAGGCCCTGAGTTCAACACACAGGAGGCTCTGTCTCAAAAAAACAAGAGGGCCAGAATGTAGTTCAGTGGCACAGTACCCTGCCTGGCAAGCACAAGGCCCTGAGTTCAATTCCTGGTATCAAAAACAAACAAACAAAAAATATACACAGGATGTTTGACAGTGGTGATTGTTAGTTCTGATAATAAAGGGGAAATACCTCTATGTGTGTGTGTATAGTCCCTGTAGAATGCTAATTAATGCATATTTTGAAGTAAATTTGAACTAGTTTTTCCGTTGTGAATGACAAGACAACATGTTTAAGCAGTAATAATTCTAATGGGACAGTAGGTGTACGGTTTATTGGGAATGGAATGGAAATCCGGGACATGTGTCCCGGCATGGCTGGATCAAGGTCCAGAGCCCTTTTTTGGGAAGCTGGCTCTTGCATATGGGTTCTGTTTGCTTCTGCATCATCCATTGGCCGGCAGACACATCCATTGCAGGTTTAAATCACCAGAGTTCACCGGGCGTGGTGGCACACGCCTGTCATCCCAGCACTCGGGAGGCTGAGGCAGGAGGATCACTGTGAGTTCGAGACCAGTCTGGGCTACATAGTGAATTCCAGTTCAGTCTCAACCACATAGTGAAACCCTGTCTCAAAAAACCAAAAAAAATAAATAAATAAAAATAAATCACCAGAGTTCATCAAGCCCAGGAGAAGCAGGCTGGGTGAGCCCGGTCAGAATTACATGGCGTGTGAGTCAGGGAGGGGCAGTCCCGGAGGAAAATCCCAGAACTGCATAGTAGGGTTTTCTAAAGGAGGAACGGTCTGTTGGAGTCATGGTTTGCAGAGGTTTCAGTCCATGATTGGCTGACTCTAAAGCAGGGTGGCATCTCAGAGGAGAAACAGTTCATGATGGGCAGGAGGTAGCAAAGCAACAAAGGATGTCCACAGGCCTTTCTTTAATCCTGGTGCCCTTGCTGCTCCCACTGCACATGAATCAGTTCTAGTGCCGCACACACTAGATCCAGCCACCTCTCAAAAAGCCCCACCTATGACCGCATGCGGTTCTGGGGGAACTTCTAGACACAAACCATGACATTCCACCTCTGAACCTCCCCAGACACTCATGCACACATCTCTTTATGCAAAAGGCATTAGTCCATCTCCAAAAGTTGTCAAAGTCCTGACAGTCTCAGCCTTGCTGAAGAGTCAAAGTCCAAATTCCCCTCTGAGATTTAAGGCAGACTCTCAGCTGCAAGCCCCTGGACAAATGAAAAGAAAGTTAAAAACTTCCAACATTCAGTAGCATAAAATAAACATTTCCATTCCAAAAGTTACAAACAGGGATAGCAAGGAATGGGAGCAAAGCAAGACCGAAATCCAGCAGCAAATATTAAATCCCACAGTTCCACTTCCAGGGTCTTCTGCAGTCAGTCAGGTTGTGAGCTCCAAAGGGCTTGGTGGCTCCCCCGGTTTGGCACTGCCGGTGGTTGTAGCTCCCTCCCATTGCTTCTCTCTGGGACTGGCTCTGCTTCCTCCTTGGAGTTTTGCTTACTTAGATGACCCATGCTTCTGGCTTCTCCAACCTTCTGGGGTCTCTGCTGCACCTTTGGCTTCACACTCACAGCTCCACACACTGCCCTCTTAGGCCACTGCCCGGCCTCCCAGGCCTTCTTCTGAAATCTGGGTGGAAGCCTTCTGACCCCACAGCTCTTGCATCCTGCATGCACCTAAAACCAGCACTGTGTGAGTGATGCCAAGGTCTGCCACACACTCTAGCAGTAGCCAGGTTTTTTCCTCTCTTGGCTGTAGGGATCCAGTGCCTATGAACCAAATCCCAAGAAACAGTTTCTCTAGGCCGCTGCCATTCTGGAACATGGTGCTCTGGGGCTCTCTTTTCAAAAGCCTTTGAGCTTTGCAACTCTGAGGCTGGAGTCCTACTGGTTCTTGTGATGTCCTCATGCCATCGTTTTCTGTTGCCTTCTGAAATACTTAGGGTTAGGGTGGTGCCACGAAAGCTGAAGAACCCAAGTTTGATCGCTGGTACCAAAAATAAATAAATTAAATAAATAAATACTTGGCTTTTTCTTGCTAGTCCTGTCGGTGACCAATTTCTCCTCTGTTCCATCTTAGTGGGCTGCAACTTTACTGGAACTTCCTTTCTAGCCAGACTAAAAACATTTAAAATCATTCTGCTGGGCTCTTTGCTCTTGATCTCAACATAAATCTGGCTAAAAGCCCCCAAAGTAGCCATATCACTGCCTCAACTTTACACTGCTTTGACATTTCTTCTGCCAGATTAGTTAGTCCAGTGCCCTTAATCTCAGTCTCATACAAAGATACAGGCTTGCTAGATACAAGCAAAATGCAGACAAACTTTCTGCCAGGGCACAACACACATTGTCTGGAGTCCAGCAGCCAATATAGTCCTTCCCAGCAGAAACCTCCCAAGCCTGGTCTTTACTGGCAGAATTTTTATCAGCATTCTGTTCTTCTGAGTTCTCACCAGAATCTCCCATCAAATACAGCCCAAGGCATTCTAGGTCTACTTTTTCAGCGAGCATCTCTGAACCTTTCTAAACTTCCCACAAGCCACATGCAAAGATTTGTGAACCACATGGTCAGGTTTAATCACAGAAATGACCCCACTTCTCTAGTACCAAATTCCATCTTAGTTACTTTTCTTGTTGCTGAGACAAAATACCTAACACCAAAGTTAAAGGAGGAAAGGGTTTATAGAGGTTTCAGTCCACAGTCGGCTGGCTCCAAGGCAGCGTGGCTTTGCAGAGGAGAAACAGTTCATGGTGGGCAGAAGGCAGCACAGCTACCTCACTCAGCTTTGTTTCTGTGGTCTTCAGTGGATTGGATGAGGCCCATCCCCACTGGGAGTGCATTCTGTTTCATGCAGTTGAAGGATTCAGATGTTAATCTTCTCGAGACACGTACTCAGATACCAGAAAAGGGGCTGGGGATTTAGCTCAATGGTTCTGTTGCCTTCTTTGCAAGTACAAGGTCCCAAGTTCGATCCCTGGTACAAAAAAAAAAAAGGATACCAGAAATGTGTTTGGTCATATATTCAAGCACCTCACGGCTCTGTCAAGTTACCACATAAGCCACATGTGATGGTACACATAAGAATTCCAGCTACTTAGGAGGCTGAGATAGGAGGATCGCAAGTTTGGGGCTAGCCTGGGCAACTTAGTGTTTTGGTGAGACCCTGTCTCAGAATAAAAATTTTAAAAGCGGTTATCAGGTACCCGGCCTTGAGCCCTGATCTGCAAGGCAATATGTCAGAAGGTGAAAGACACAGAAATAAGACTTAGCAGGGAACTGGGATAGGCTGAGCATGTGGTAAGAACCACAGGCAACCAGGTCTGTAGGTATTTATTGATTATATGGGCATGGGTGAGAACAGGATAAAGGGACTCGCTTGTGTGGCCTCTGGTGATGGCAGCTGACACAGGCCAGGTTTGTAGAAAGGAGGATTAGGCACTTGTGGAACTGACAAAGGTCCGTTACAGTGAACTAGGAACTTCTGAAAACAAGGGGCGGGCAGCTGTGGGGAAGGACTGTGGATTGGAGCTACCCGGTCTTCGCCTGCAGTGTTACCTCACGAGGAGCCCTGCAGCTTCACAGATCAGGACTTAGACCTCGGCCGCAGCCTTTGGCACAGAGCTGTACTGGCCTGCGGCACCGTCCCACGTGCTCCTTCGGTCCGCTCCAAGTACCTTAGAGCCAGTTGTGAGGGAGACGCCTGCCCCTGTTACAGCCTGTGCTGACTCCGCCGTGCTGGTCTCTCCCAAGGGTGGGATGGAGCTCTCTGGCAGAGCACTTGGCTGGCACGTGTGAGGCTCTGGGTTCAACCCCAGTACAGGAGAAAAATTAGCGCATAAAATTGAGTATCACAAACAGCAGAAGTGTAAGTCTGGCGCCGACAACCTAACAGGACCCGCGGTCTGCCTGGTAGAACAATGTGCAGCCACAGAAAAGATGTGGTTGACTCTGGACACATGGCAAACAAACACTTTTGTTTAGAAGTCAGCTAAGCTTTCTAACAACAGTTTGAGGAAGGAACGATTTTTGTCATCATTTTCGCAAATGGAGCGGCGAAAGCAGAGAGAAGTTGTGTAACTGCCCACGGCTGCACCCAAGGGCTGAGCTGGTTTTTAGCCCAGGCCGTTTGGCTCCAGACCCAGTATCCTGAGCCACTGCAGAAGTGCAGAAAGCTGAGTGCCCAGCGGGAGCACCAGGTGATGCCTCTGAAACAGGAGCCCCTCATGCCCGTGAAGTTCTACCTGGTTGTTTTTTTTTTTTAAGCCATCCCGAACAATGTGTGAGTATGTGTAATTAGGGTTTACTCTGGGCATTGTGTTTCTGAGAGTAGGGAAATCTGGATATTGGTTTGAGTTCTTTTCACTGTATATACATTCCGTAGTATTTGGCATTTTTACTGTGAGCGCGACTCAGTTTTAGAAATTAAAACATCTATAGCAGATGCATCGTGTCATATCTACCTACATTGGGATCTGTGCTCCTAACCACCCACCTGTGTGGCTTCTCCCCATGCCCACAGGTGACCCTGGGAGGCTATGGCTTCTCCTTCCGCTATTGCCCAGGTGGCAGACACGTGGCCTACACAGAAGGCAGCAGGAGCCCACATGAGGGGGACCTCGAGTTGATTAGCGTGGACCTACATAAAGGATGTGGTAAGGAGCCAGAGGAGGGGTTTGGGTCCCGAGACATACTTCTCGTTTTGGGCAACTCCAGGGGTTCGCAAGTACGGGCAGCAGGCGGCCGGACACAGAGTCGTGAGGAATCAGAAACATGGCGAGCATCCTGGATATATGAAGGAAATGGGCCCCGAGAACACAGTTCCGTGCTTAGAACTTAGTGTAGCACCAACCACGCAGGACGTGGGGTACTGGCTATTAGAGGGTGTGGGGTCAGCACCAAGGACATCAGGCAGCTGGACCCCAGAGCCCTGCTTTCTAGCGCCTGGGATCAGGACCTGGTGGAGATTGAAGGTGAGAATTGCCTTAGCGTCATCCAGGTGGGGCGGCAGATGTCCGTCTGTGTCTGGAGCACGGCGGTGGTGTTTGGGTGGGAGGTGTCACCTGAATCCCTAGGGAGCGTGGCAGAATGGGAGCCCAGGGCAGATTTCTTGACGCCCTCTTTCTCGGATCACCGAAATCATGGCTGTCCACGTACCCGCCCTTACCCTCCTCCCCGACTGAGCTCCCCAGGGCAGTGGTGGCACCTGTTCCTGCAGCTCAGCGGGCAGGAGGTTGACTGCTTCCACGGAGCTGTGTAAATTATGTGGTTTGGGAGGCAGCAGGAACCCTGTGAGCCGTCTTCCTGGGTCCTCTGTGTTCATTCTGCTCCCTTTGTGGCTTGATAACTCTGCACTGTTATTAGCTCTCACTGTCCCCACCCAGCTCCTGTGTGCGTTTTCAGCATGGAGAAGGGGCCCGCACACAGATGCTGAGAACCCACTGAGTGCGTGAATGAAAGAGGAGTAGGTGGGGAGTGGGCCGGTGAGAGAGAGGGTGCAGATGCTCGTGACCATGGGGAGAGTGAGGGTGACTAGAGACCAGAGATGACTAAGGAGTGAAGGTTAAGTGAGTGAGATACTTCCCACGGCTGGATAGTGAGTCCAGGCGTGCCGCTGAGGGAAAGGAGGGGTGGTGGACATGGACGCGTCAGAGTGGAGCGTCCAGACGGAGCTGCCGCCTCTTCCCCTCCCTCCCAGGGCCCTCCCGCCGCAGTGACCTCCAGACCCTGGGCTACTGTATGCTGAAGTGGCTTTACGGGTCCCTGCCGTGGACAAACTGCCTGCCCAACACCGAGGAGATCGTGAAGCAGAAGCAGAAGTGAGTGGAGGGGCGGCCGAAGCCAGCACTGTCTGCCCCTCGGGTGGGGGAGGAACTTAGATTCCAGCGGCGAGCAGGAAGGAAGGAGAGCTCGCGTCCCCCAGAGCCGACTTCTCCGTGACCTCGGGTGTGCGATTTTCCCTCCATTCCTGCGAGCAAGAGAGGCGGGGTCTCCGGGGCCTTGCCGCGATTCAGGGGAGTCAGACACAGGCGCAGCAGGTAGCGCAGGGCCTCAGGTACTTCTTGTGCTGACACCAGGATTCCTTCCGTCGTCGACATGCGGGCTACCTGCAGGTTGGGCCCAGGCCTGTCATAAGCATCCTCCACCCAGCTGCCCGATGGCCACGCCGGCAGTATCTGTGCCTTTGCCTCTGCTTATAATACCTCGCAGTCTCACCAGTTGTACTTTGAGCATTCAGCACCAAGGACAGCACACAAAGTGGGCAGCTGCCGGGGAGGGACTGGCCAGCACTGTGGGACAGCGGGAAAGCTTAGCTTTAGATGAGTTTCAGGACTACATGGCAAGGGCTCTACTGTGGTGCCGGTTCAACAACAAGACAAGGACATTTGTCCAGAGGGAAACTGCAAGGGTCCCAGCGGGTAGAGCTAGGATCTGGGGCAGACATAACCATAACCATTGCCCCAGGGTCAACTAGGCAGGGTTTATAAGGAGGTGACCGGCTGTCTGCGTCTGAAGGAGTGAAGTCCAGATGGTCTCAGACCCTGGGGCTGTCTCAGCATCTGTCAGCCGGGGCCCCAGGAGAAGACGAGGTCACCTGGGAAGGTGCACACAGCAGGAAGAGGGCGACTCCCAGTGTGTGGCATCAAGACTGCCGGTTCTCGGCATGCTGTGTCCCTTGTTCCCAGCGAGCCTAATTCACTTCATTTTGTCTCCTTTGTGGCTCCCAGCTCCTTTTTATCAACAGTAGAATGCCACTGAGACACATTTACCATATATTCTACTAATCTCTTTAGTGTATTTGTACCCTTAAAACTGTGTGGTAGCCCTGCTGTGTGTCTTTTGCATAAATGATGCTCGCTATGAATTTCATCTGTTCCTGGCTCTTTTCACGCAATGCTGTGTTTTTCGACTTCCGCTGTATCGTTGTACATTACTGACTTCGCTGTCTCTGACTCCTGTTTCTACCTCAGTCTTACATAAACATGCCTGGGACCTAGGACGGTATGTGGTAGTCCTGTGTGTGCTTAACTTGCACCAGTGATGGCACAGTAGGGCTCGCAGCAGCAGCCCAGGGGTTTGCCTGGAGTGGGGAGAGCACCGGACTGCGTATGCTGTGTCCCTTCCTAGACACGGGTGCCTGTGATACAGTTCAGTTTACAAATCAGGCACGATATGCGGTTAACAGTATCCAGTAATAAAATACAACAGTCACAACAATGTGCTGCAATAAAACTGAGTAAATCTCTCTCCCTCTGTGTCTGTGTCTCTGTCTGTCTGTCTGTCTCTCTTTCTTCCCCGCTGCCTTTTATTCTGTTCTCACCCTTTTTCTTACTGATCACAGCAAACAAAACCACAGTTAAGGGGAAACTACTGTATGCTCTGAATCTCACTGTGTTCCTCAGTTTCTTTCGCTCAGTGCCGTGATTTTAAACTTCAGCTGCATTGCTAGTGCACTACTCCCAAATACTCCTCCAGTCTTCTTCGCTGAGAGGTGTCTGCCCCTGAGAACTGTGTGATGTCATTGGTGTGTGCTTGATTGGCATAAAAAGGGTCATCCTTGGATTTCCGGAGCCCAGCGAGCCGTTCCCCACCCCACTGCTCCATCAGACCTCCTGCTTAGCGCTGCTCACGGAAGGGCTGTGCCCCATCACGCTGGCCTGCTGATGCCATGACCTGTTTGCGGACGGCATCTGTGCCCTGTCCTGGGCCCTGGGGACACAGGAGTAAGGGACATGAGTCCATGCCTTTGGGGAGCTCACAACCCAGTGGGACAGACAGTGGGACTGTCGGAGTGCGGCTCAGTGGCAGGAGTGGCAGGAGTCAGCTCCTGAGGGGCAGTGAGGCTTCCCGTGGGGCAGGAGGCCACCTCGGTGTGGCCCTGAGCTGCTGCGGAAAGGGGCGAGGCAGGCAGAGCGGGGCCTTCGGCGCCCAGCTCCACAGGCAGCCTTGATCAGAAGCCTGTCTTGGGACCAGCTGGAATCCGAGGCATTGCGCTGAGTTCTCGGAATTTACTTTTACAGCGATTTTCCAGTGATACAAGATGGTGCTGGTTTTCTGCTCTTTTGAAATGAAGCCAGGTGGAAACCACGAGTCCCAGAGTCAGCACAGGTGTGAACGTGTGCGAAGCGTGGCCACGCTGCTTGTCGGGTTAGGGACACGCACTGCCACGGGGCACCCAGGGCACTGCAGCTCAGTCAAGGCAGGCGACTGCCCCTCCGGAGGGAGGGGGGCAGCCTGGACCCCTCAGCCTTGCGCGACCTTCTTGGGTCCCTGGCTGTGCTGCCACTGCCTCCCAGCAAGAGCACACGCATGTGGTGGCCCCAACCAGGACTTCTGGGCTGGGAGGAAACGCGCAGCAGGAAGCAGCCAGAACAGGCCCTGGTGTGAGGATGGAGGTAGCTGGGGACCCGGGAGCAGAGGGAGGCACCTGCCCCTGGCACAGGCCACCGGAAAGTGCTACCTCTTGTGTGTTGTACTCATTTGTTCCGTCCTATATCAAAAATGAATAAGTAGCTGCGGGTGAATGGAGAGCTCAGCCACTTTCCTGGCTGCTGGAAGGTGTCATCGTGGTGCCTGGTCCCCGTCTGTAGAAAGCACCAGGCCTCCCAGGCAGGGAGGAGGCGCGGTTTCGAGGCACCTCTCTGAACTCTTGTTCATTCAGTCCTGCAGTTATGCAGTAACAGAAGGACCACAAGGGGCCCTGCTGTGACCTGCACACTCTCTGGCCTCTGAAGTGTCCTCCTTCGGGCCGCGTGACTGGTGTGGAGGCTTTGTCCAGTCAGCCCACAGGGGTTTGTGTGTCTTTAGACGTGACGGAATGAATAAATAAGCACGACACAGTCCAGGTCCCACAGGCTCTCTGCTGTGTGTGCCCTGGCAGAGCGCAGACGGGTGTTCGCACGGCAGCAGCGGTGGCTCTTAAGGTGACTCCCGACAGAAGCACACGTCCAGCAGGGTGACGGGGCTGGGTGCGGCTCAGTGGCAGAGCCTGGCCCAGTATGCATGAGGCCTTGGTTTGACCCCTGGTGCCGTAGAAAGACCGGGGTTGATTCCTGCTTGGTTGACGATAGTGTTGTGGCCGGAGCCTGGCGGGACCCCCGTGGTGCCGCCCCGGGAGCAGCAGCTCCAGATTGGCCAACTCAGCGGCCACAGCACATCTTTTCCTTGCCACTGATTGACGATTGGCTGGTTGATGTGCTGGGGATCAGACCCACCATGGCCTCGCACATGGTGGGTGAGTTCTTTGCCTCTGAGCTGTGCCCCCAGTCTTCACAGCAAATCCACAGAACGCAGCTGGCTGTCAGGAAGAAGTCCATATGCACAGTGGTCTCCCAGCGAGGCATGCTGGCTCACACCTGTAACCCCAGCATTCTGAGAGGCTCAGCAGGAGAATCACAAGTTTGAGCCCAAGCTGGATGATTTAGCAACTTCGTAAACACTTGTTTCAAAAGAAAAGATATAAAGGGCCAGGGACGCACCTCAGTGCAAAGGCCCTTTGTTCACTCAGTGCCCCTCATAAGGAAAAAACATCGCTGTCCTTTCCCTAAGTGACACATGCTTCTGTCCCTTCAGGTATGTTGACAACCCAGAGCCACTCGTGGGACTGTGCAGTCACCGCATTAGATCCTCAGGTAAGTCCCGAGGGGGTAGGGGACGGGTGAGCCCTGAACGGGTCCTGGCAGATTACCGCTGTAATATGTGTCCGCTGTAAGGGAGAGAAAACTCTTTTGTTTCCCCCTTGAGTTTATTGGTACATTTTAGGTATACAGTGCAGTTGTATTCATCGTTGGGATCTTGTGCCTTTACGTGACAGATCTTGGTTCTTATTTTTTCCCCATACCCCTTCCCTCCCTTCACCTCCTCCACCCTTCCCTATTTACAAAGACTTTGTTTCCATTTTTTTCCTGTTCTCATATTTTTTCTTTTCCATTCTTTCCTTTCCCTTACCACCTCCCCACTCCTTTAGACCTTTTCTTCCTATTTCACCTTATCAGTTATACAATTTGAGCCTTAATTACACTTTTAGCTTTTCACAGCAGAAACTATTCAGTATTTACACACGTGTGTCCTATTTATTTCACTTAAGAGTATGGCCTCAGTGTGCATCCACTTAGCTATAAATGTTTCTAGTTTCTCGTTCTTTATGGCTGAGTTAGAGAGAAAATTATTCAAAACACTTCCTAACCCTCTGAACAACAGCAAAGCACAAAGAGTACACATGGAATCAACTTTATATATAGTAGTCTGCAACTTTTCTCTTTTTTTCCCTTTCTTCCTTTGAGACAGCATTTTCCTGAGTTGCTCAGTCTGGCCCCAAACTCAGGGTCCTCCTGTCTCAGCCCAACAAGGGGCTGGGATAACAGGTGTGAGCTACCACGCCTGCCTTTTTCTGTTTTTGTTTTTCTCCTCTGAGAAGATTATATTGGAGATGTTCTATGTGGGTGTGTGTAGAATTTTGTCAGTATCTTTAAAATTGTAATAAAATACACAAAACATCAGTCTTTTTATTTTTTTGGTGTGGGGATTGAGTCCAGGGTCTTGCACATGCTGTATCACTGAGCTACTTCCCCAGCTTGGTATTTTAAAGACGGATCATGGCTTATTAGTCATAAAGTTAATTCACTGGGTCAATAACAGCATTAAAAACGTCAATGCTAGGCCTTGGTGATGCACGCCTGCAGTCCTGGCACTGGGGAGGCTGAGGGAGGAGGATCACCACGAATTTTAGGCCAGCCTGGCTCCACAGTGAAGCCCTGTCTCAAAAAACAACAGCAAAAACATTGAAAAGAGTAGACAAAAATATGAAATCGGTTCAAATCGGGACTCAGTGACTCATGCCTCGACCCCCTAGCTCTGTGCTGATGTTGACCCCGCCGCTGGTTAGTTGGATCTCTCAGACTAAGTGGAGCAAGCAGGAGGGGCTCAGGGGCCGGCGCCCAGGAACTCCCATCCCCTTGGCGTACTGTGCTAGGTGCCTCCATCTGATGTTTTGCCAGTGTTGCTGAACCGTAAGCATCGCTAGCAGAGCAGCAGAGAGGAAGCAGCGTGGGGCAGATGGGCACTGCGGGTGACACCCTGGGCCTCGTGCCAGCCCCGCCCAGCCCCTTGGGACAGCCCCAGACCCTGCCCTGGGGTTTCCTCTCATCCTCCCCGTGCCGGGGTGTCTTGACCACAGAGGCGCTGCAGCAGTACCTGAAGGCGGTGATGGCCCTGAAGTATGAGGAGAAGCCGCCCTACACCATGCTGAGGAACGGTCTGGAAGCCCTGCTGCAGGATCTGCGGGCGTCGGCCTATGACCCCCTCAACCTCCAGCTGGTGCCCTAGGCGGAGCCCAGGTGAGGGCATGGGTCAGCCCCCGGGCACCCCGGGTGTCTGCACCTCTGGCGCGGTGGCCTGTCCCTCGGCTGAGCGCGGCTGTCTGAGAGCTACAGGCTGGGTCTGTCACGCGTTCTGGGGGAGCTCGCAGCAGGCCTGTGTTCAGGGCCTTGCAGACAGCACCGAGGCGCTTCTCTCTGTCCTCTTCTGTCCCCTCTGGTATTTGGCCATTCCCACCCCTCTGTCCCCGCCTCACAGGCACTGCTGCCTCTGCCCTGTGGTCCGCTGTGCTCTCCCACAGCTCCTCCTGTTCTCTGTAAGCCGAGGAATCTGCAGCCCTAGACTCGACCAACTGACCAACTGTGGACCCAAAATATTCCCAGGCTGCCTCTGTACTGAATGTGCAGTCGATTCTCACTGTTCCCGAAACTGCTCCCTCAGGGCTGTCCCTGCACGGGTGTCACAGGAATCCACACCCGATGTCCAGTCCATGGGAGGGGGGCAGCCTGGGGTCCTGGAACACATCCCGGAGACCCTGAGGCCGCCGTCCCCACCCCCATCCCCCGCCCGCGCTCCCGGGCTGCTCTGCAGTGGGGCTGTGCCGTCCAGATGCCCTCCAGACGCCCTCCAGCACCGCCAGACTGGCCGGGAGGTTCAGGCCACAGATCAGTTCCACTCAAGTGGCCGCGGGTGGGGCAGGGCAGTGTGTCCTGAGCGGGAGCTTCCCCAAGCCCCTCTCCACCGACTTCATTTCCGTCGCTGTACTTGGTTCCAGTCAGAGCCCCATGTTTGTCTAACTCGGGGCCCCGTGCCAGCGGAGACCCACCCGCCAGGTGTCACCAGGGAACCGTTGAGAACGCCTGGTCGGGGTCTCCTGAGCAGCACGGCCCAGGTGGCGTCCGCCTGCTTTGCTGTCGTCTTCTGGCAGCGCGTGGACCACAGGTTTCTTCTGCGAGATGATGCAGTGCACTCAGTGCCTGCACAGAGCCAGGAATGCAGCACTAGGGCCGAGGGCTCTGCGCTGTCCACGGACCCCCTCAAGAAGTGAAGGCGGAGCCAGGCTGGTGGCACAAGCCTGCAGTGCCAGCATCCAGGAGGCGGATGCAGGGGTTTCCCAGAGTCCAGGCCAGTCCGGGCTACACAGTGAGACCTCGTCTCAAAAGTGAAGTTATGACCGTCTCTGCCACCCTGGTGTCCGTGTCTCTGTTCCGGCCCAGCTCAAGGCGAAGGCCCCATGGGTGTTCACCAACAAGGCACCGCCTGTGTGAGAAGCCCGGATGGACCCCACTGCCGAGCAGGGAGGGCATGGAGACCTGGGTCAGGGCCTGAGCCTGCTTCCGGCTCGGGGAAGTCTGGCCTGTGTAGCACAGACACCAAGGCTAGGGAAAATGATACGGATTCACCAAGAATGGACATTTTGAGCCTTGGAATTAGCAGTCCTTTTCACAATCACTGGTACCTGCTTTCTCCCTGGTAGCCACGCACTCAGTGACAGGTCCATCCCTTGCTCAGGACTTAAAGCCATGTTCTTGAATAATGATGGTGGCACTCAGCCAACCCTATCCTCCCCCGCACACCATCCGCGAGTGCCACCTGCCTCCTCCCCTCTTGTTCTAGAACAGGCCGAGGCACCTTGTCCCTGCCATTCCAGCGGTCTGGAGCGCTGCACCCTCGTACCCAGCTGTCTCCTCTTCCTCATCTGAGGCTGGGGGGGTCATCCCAGTGAGACACATCCTCACTGCCCGCCACAGTGACCGTCACCTGCTCCCTGAAATCACGGCTCCCCGCTGAAGGGACCCCTGTTTGACATGCAGGGCCTCCACACCCTTCCTGCAGACTGTAACTGCCCACGGCTCCTGCCCTCTTGCCCATGGCTGTGTCCCCGGTACCTAATAGCAGCCTGGCATGAAGAAGCGGCGGGCAGAAAGGGTGCACCGTGGAGGAATTCAACTCCAGTAGCCATTTGTCTTGTTTTCCAGAACTTCCACCCTGCAGTTTGAAATAGAAACAGAAATGAAGCAATGTGAGTCAAGGCCTGCTGTTCTAGAAAGATCCCTGGAATGTGCATCCCGCCCCTTCCCCAGTGCCGATCCATTCGGGGCCCTGAAGATGTGAAGCTCCCCTTCTCAGCAGCCGCCGGGGCTGAGGATGAAGACTCCCAACTCAGCGCGCTGCCCCTTCCTGAGACCTTCCTGGTCCCACTGTGCTTTAATAGTAAGCCATTTTCTTGAGCACTGGGTCTTTCATTCATTTATTCCAACTTCTCCACCCTGGCAGAACATGGTTACAGCCCAGGCTTCGTGGGAGTCTGAGGTGAGGGAATCACTGAGCCCGAGTTTGAGGTCAGCCTGGGCCACACAGACCCCATCTCAATGAAGACAACGTTCCCATCTGTTCATTCCGACTTTAATGCACGTCCATATCCGTTTAGTGTCGTTTGTCCATCCATCCACCCTCCGGTCCGTCTTGCACCAACCCACCCTCCCTCTCATTCATGTCTGTAGACTCCTGCATCACCCCCAGCCCTCCATCCTTCCATTCAACCATCCATGCGTCCACTTCCTTGTTCTTCTGCTCCCTTACCCTTTCTCTCTTTCATACATTCACCCTTCCTTTCATTCACGAAGTACTCATCAGGGGTTTTGTGTTGGTGAGTTTTCCACCACTGCGATGCAGTGCCTGAGGCCGGCTGCAGGAGAAGAGGTTCGCTGGGCTCCCAGTTCTCAAGGTTCACAGGCGTGGTGCCAGCTCACGGCAGAGGGCAGAACCATCATAAAACAAAGTCAGAGGTGACTCAGCAGTCCGGCTTTATAGCAACTTGCTCTCGGGGAAGTAACTCCAGGTCCCCCAAGACCTCCCTCCATCCCTTCCCATGTCCCGCTCCAGTGACCTAAGTACCCCGCCTCTTGACCTCGCCACGCTGGGCACACAGGGACACACGATACCAGACACCACGTTGGAGCCACAGCAGGCCCTGTGAGGAGAGCACGGCAGCTGGAAGAGGCCGAGAAGGCAAGACCCGCTGCAGTCCAGGAGCTGGTGCTGCAGTCCAGGAGCTGGTGCTGCAGTCCAGGAGCTGGTGCGGATAAAGGAGACCACACTTCCCTTCACGCGGGCTGGGGAAGCTCAGGGCGCGCAGGGATGGAAGGCGCTGGGTTCCTTGGGGAGATGTGGACACAGGGCAGTGGAGCTGGGAGGCTGTAGCCGGGTTCCCTGTGTGTGTGAGGTGTTGGCTGGGCGGTGGGGCAGAGAGGAGAAGGGAGAGCCAGGAGGGTAGGGTCAGCAGTTGGTGGGTGATTAGGTTGGAGGTGGAATGAAGGAATGGGTGGAGACGACCCCACCTCGGGGTTTTTCATTTTGACAGACGGGTTTTCTAACCGGTGGACGTAGACGCCAATACTGTAGCACCAGTGTTTTGCAAAAAAGATTTGAAAAAAAAATACTGAAAACCGATCATCAGAGATTCATTTTAAAGCTCAACTCCGCGTAATCAGTAGGTGTTAGAGGGATTTATAGGACAGGAAGGAGGAGGAGCTGCCTGTTGGTGGCCGAGGAGCAGGGGAAGTTACTGAGTCCTTGCGCGGCACCAAGGTCACTGCACATGTGCGAAGGCCGCGTGCTGCTGGGCTCGAGCTGGTAGCGGAAATGCCCTTGACCCAGCGAGCTGCTGCTTCCGCTCGTGCCCGTCTTTCAAAGGTCAGCTTCACTGCCCTTGAGTGGGATCTGGGGGCATTTTCTGGAAAAAAAAAAAAAAAAAGCTAAGCAAATTGCTGTGTAAGGAATTTGTGTCCTGGTGTGTCTTTTTTTTTTTTTTTTAAGTTTCCTTTACTCTTAGTCCCTGTTTGCAGTACACGGTGATCGCGTTCCTTGTGTGGAGTCGTTGCAGGGACAGCACCTCAGTTCTCCTCATAGCCTGTTCCTTTCCCCTGCCGCCTCTCCTCTATCTCTTGATCCCCTTCACTTTTGCGAAAGATCTTACCTTTCTGTTCCCTGTCATCTTCCTATCATCTATTTTTAATTTTGCTCTTTATTTATATTTTTATTTTCCGTGAGCTATTTAAAGTTAAATAGCCATGAGCCATTTAAAGTTGTGTCTGATTTAATTTCAATTAACATTACAGTCTCCAGGTGCATCCAGTTTGCTATAAATGACTCGTCTTTTTTGTTTTTGTTTTTTTCGGTACAAGGGATCAAACTCAGGATCTTGATCAGTTTGTCTTTCTTTACATCTCTTTTTTATTTCTTTTTCTTACCCAATCAGCTGCTCAAGAAAGAGTTGATGGAGAGCCGGGGATTTAGCTCAGTGGTTCTGCCACCTGCCTTACAAAGCTCAAGGTCCTGAGTTCGATCCCTGGTACCCCCACAAAAAAAGAGAGAAAAAAAAGGAATAAAAGTTGATGATGTTCATGTTTGGTCAAGAAACATAATTTCAAGTCATTAATCAAGAGATGCATCGCATCCTGAGGACTGGAACATAAGCTGTGCCCACCTAGTGTGGGGAAATGGAGGGGCAGGGACCCACACAGTGACGTTTACGCTGGCACCCGGAGAACACACCGGCTTTTGGAGCTGACGTCTGTCCTCGAAAAGGAATGCTCAGTGCAAACCAATGCGAAGAAGTTGGATGTGCCTTTTAAGAAGTGTAATGCAGTGTGAAAGTGTTTCCCAGGACATAGCAACTGCAAGGAGTTCGCTAAGCAAATCCTGCAAACTCAGGGTGCTAATTAAAGAGAATCTAGCCATAAAAAACAAAGAAGTATGCAGCTTACACACTTAGCATTTATTTCAGATGAACACGGAATAATGATGCTAAATCATAAAAAACAATCAAAGAAGTATGCAGCTTACACACTTAGCATTTATTTCAGATGAACACGGAATAATGATGCTAAAGTGTGCAGGTCAGGGCCAGGCAGCGGCTGAGTGTGGGACTGTCCCTGCAGGCGGTCAGGAGGAGCAGGCCAGTGGGGTGATCACCGCCTGGGGAGGAGGAACAGGAGGGCTGAAGAAGCCTGCAGCCTCACAGCCCAGCAACAGCCTTGGCTAGGCCTTGGGCAGCAGTGAGAGCCGCCCTGCAGAAGCCCCCCTGGGCTGGGGTGGCAGGCCCCGGACTCCATGCCAGTGCGGCCCTGGGTGTTGGGCAATGCCCTCTGCAGACCCAGCCCCGGGGGCTTTTTGGGAATTGCTTCCCTGTGCCCACAACAGCCTGGGAGTCAGGTTCATTGTGTGCATTTGACAGATCAGGGGACTGAGGAGTAAAGTCACCTCTCAAAGGCTGGGCTGAAAGGGGAGCTGGGTGTCCTGCCAGCTGGGACCCTGGTGACGTGGAGAATGGCCCGCTTGGAGAAGCCTGGGCACTGCATGGCGTCACTTGCAGATGATGATCTCTGCGTACTCCAAGCTGCTGGGGTCCCCCTGGTCCCAAGGCTCCCGGGGCCTCATCCCGTGGAAGCTGAGGGAGGCGTAGTGCAGTTCCCGCTCCTCTTCCCCGGCATAGGCCGGGGCCCCTTGAGGGGGGTCTGCCTTCTGGGGACCCTGAGTGGGTGAGAGCAGGGCATCAGGCAGGGAACGGGGAGATCGAGGAGGACAACAGCAAGGCTGGAAAATGAGCATTTGTCTCCTCCCTCCGTTCCACCAACCGCCTGGGCCCTCTCATTCCTGTCCCTTCCACAGACATCTGTTACTAATGATGGTGCCGCTTGGCCACTGACTGCCCATTTCATAAGATCTCCACAGAAGCCCACTGGGGAAACACTGCCCATCCATTTCCCAGATGGAGACACTGGTGCTAAGGAAACAGGCACACACCTCACCTGTAGTGAATGGTCAGCCCAGAGTCCTGCCAGGACCCTGGAGTCCACCCCGCTGCCCCGAGGCACAGCTCCCCTGCCCGCCCTGCACTCTCGGGGCAGCAGAGCAGACCCCACAACACCCCTCACCTACGCAGCAATGAGCAAGGACAGCAGGCAGGACCGTGGCCCCCAGGTCAGTTACTGTCTAACAGCCAGGTGTGACAGGTGCGCAGGGGAGGGGCGGAGCACAGACAGCAGGGTTGGCTCAGCCCGCACAGCCCCGGGCAGCTCTGGGCTGCTCAGACTCAGGTGGACACGGTGGGGCCGCTGTGCTGGGCGCCCAGGGGACAGAGGACGCCGTGCAGTGAAAGCTGCGCCTGGCCCAAGGCGGGGTGGACCCTTGGTGCAGCTGTGGGGAGGGGGCCTCTCCCTGCAGCCCTGGCCGCGTCCTGCTGGACAGAAGCATCGCTGACCCCAGGGAGCTGCAGGCCAGTCCAGCTGTTTGGCTGCTGTGATGTGGCAGCAGTTTGGCCTCTGGAGCAGCAAAGGTGACTAAGGTCAGTCACGGGAGTGCACACTGTCAGAGTGACCGGCCACCAACACAGCCCTGGGCCACAGGCTCGGGTGGCTTCCGTGTGGGCATCGCTCCCTGTGGGTTGTCACCATGGTGCTGACAGGACTGAGCGCCCCCTGTGTCCGCTGCTGGGAGAGGAGAGCCCTGAGCTCACTCCTGCTCCCTCAGACCTCTTCCCTTGGCTGACTTTTATGTGATCTTTATTTTAAGCCCTGGGGACGGCAGTGGGGAAACAGACAAGTGGTGGTCAGGCCTGGGTCTTTGACTGGGCTTAGAGAAGGAGCTCGGCCTGAGGTGAGGCTCTGGCTGCTGGATTGAGCTATATCCTGGGGACACAGGAGCCAAAGCCGATGTGGGCATCAGGAGTCTTGAAGCCATCAGGGCAAGGGAGCAGGGAGGGCCCGTGCATGGAGAGCTCCTCACTCACCCTGCACACAGGACGAAGGGCACGGGGTGAGTCCTCCCCAGAGGCCACCGTCCTGGTGTCTTCCTTCCTGTGGGTCTTCGTGCTGAGAAAGGAAGGCAGGACCTTGCACCACCGCTGCCTCGGAGCATGGAGTGGGCCTGCTGGTGCCTGCTGAGCCAGCTACACCCCAAGGCCCACCGAGACGGGAGGACACGCCAAGGGGTTGGGCACAGACCCTGCTCTCATCACGGGGAGAGGTCCAGAACCCACAGCCACACTGGCCACTCCCTCCCAGCTGGGCCTGTGTGGGGTCCCGGGGGTGGATGCCTCCCCCATATGCTCCTCCTGCCCCCACATCCCTCACCTGGAGAAGGCAAGGGCGGCACAGAGAGAACAGCAGAGCCCCCCCCCCCGAAGGGGTTGGGCAGCCCCTGCTCTCATCACGGGGAGAGGTCCAGAACCCACAGCCACACTGGCCACTCCCTCCCAGCTGGGCCTGTGTGGGGTCCCGGGGGTGGATGCCTCCCCCATATGCTCCTCCTGCCCCCACATCCCCCTCCTGGAGAAGGCAAGGGCGGCACAGAGAGAACAGCAGAGCCCCCCCCCCC